ATGACCAACAGAAAATACTGGAAGGGTTTGGTGGGCATTGACCTTGAGTTTGGGAGTTGTAGTTCACCTACATCCAGAGAGCACTGTGGACTCAAACAATGATGGATCTGGACCAAACTTGGCACGAATATTCCATATGCCCAAATATGAACACAGATGGAGGTTGGGGGAAATAGACCTTGACATTTGGGAGTTGTAGTTACTGGGATTTATAGTTCACCTACAATCAAAGAGCATTCTGAACCCCATAAACCTCAGAATTGGGGCAAACTTCCCACACAGAACCCCCATGACCAACAGGAAATACTTAAGGCCATCCAGTCCAACTCCCTTCACCAGGGCAAGAAAACGTAATCAAAGTCCTGACGAAGAGTCATCCAGCCATAGATAGATAGATAGATATGATTCACACACACACAGATATAGTATCATAGATTTGAAAGGGACCCTTAAAGGACAATTTTATGTTGCATGTTCCAGAGTAGGCAAACAGACACTCTCCACATCAACACTGACAAAGAAACAGCAAGAAATACTGTTTACCCACAAGCATAAAGAAATTACATATATTAGAAACCAACACTTTCTCATTACTTTATTTTCCAAATCAACAGACTGGGCCACAGCAACGCCTGGCAGGGGACAGCTAGTAATAATAATAATAGTATTTCTCACCCGCCTCTCCTCATGGCTCGAGGCGGGCTACAAAATAATTAAAACACATAAACTTGTAGAAATACCACAAATACACATATTAAAACTGTATCTGTATAGAAGGTACATATTAAACCATATTTCTATAAAACACATATTAAAATACACAGTTCTTCCTAATGTTGGAAAAGATCTTGGAATCCTCTGCTAACAACGCTGGCTGCAATATAACTTCAGTCATGCACATTGCTTGGTCTCACCTGCTGCAGGACCTGCCACACCATGCAAGTGGTGTCCCGCGACCCGGAAATGAGGTAGATTCCGCACAGATCTAAGGCCAGGCAAGTGATGACGTCTGGAGCGAGAGGAAATAGAGAAGGGTCAGCAAAAGCAGGACACAGCCCACAAACAGCTGCCAATACCTTGCTACCATTTCCCAACGCGAAGCGTCACAAGGTCATGTTACCTGTGCCCCCCCCCCCAGTGCCTATGGAAGGACGGTTTCCCTTACCTATGTGCCGGTGGATGTGCCCCACAACCTTCCCTTTACTCAGAGACGTGACCCGCAGGCTGTTGTCCCAATGTCCACCACTGAAGAGGAGCTTCCCATCGTGGGAGACGGCCAGGGTCTTGGCGGAGACCTCCACACCTGGCGCAAAGGGGCCGTACAGGTAGCGCTGCGTCCTGGTGGAAGAAGTACCAAGCCAAGCATTAAGCAACTTTGATAAAGTCAAGAGAACTGTTGCAACTCAGAGTAAGCTTCACCTTGCTGCCAAACACCACCACACAAGAGCTGTAGTTTTATAGTTTATTGAGGAGAAAATCCAAGTCAAAATAAAGAATAAGCATTGCAAAATTCCAAAGATTAAGGTTAAAAGCAGAATATAGTTCCAAAGATCTTCAGGTAAAAACAGGAGACACAATCCTATTGGCAAAGTTCAAACCAGAGTCCCAGGTACAAGCAATGAAACAATTGCCCCATGAATCACAATGCAAGAAATCCCAAGCATACTGCTTTCCAGGCTAAGATTATTCCATGAAGCTTTCAGGCTAATAAGCTACGTTGAACTGACGCTTTCACAGAGTTTCCAAGAGGCCTAAATACCTTTCTAACATCAAAACATTAGGCTCTCAGCATCATAAAAGCATTGCGACAACCTTTCACCGAGCTGGCTTCTCGTCTACTTGCCAGACGCGAACTCCGCCTGACCTGGAGATCAAGGCGAGCTTCCCAGGTCAAGTCACTATCTATACTTTCGGTATCAGCGTGGGAAGGCACCTGCTCGCTATCTCCTTCGTTAAAATTCCTTTCTGGTGAAAATGGCTGTGTTGACACTGCACTGTCTGTGAGAGCCTCAGAAGCAGGCCCAGAGATTTGAGGCACAAAGAGCCAGGAATCTGAAACCCAGCAGGAATCTGAATCCTATCATTCTCATCGTCAGAAAATAGCTCAGCCACAACAAGAACATTAAGTGCTTTCTAAACCAATCCTGATTTCCTTTGGCCCGATCGCCATAAGGAAGGCACTGTGGTGGGACTACCAAACTTGGGTCGCAAACTGGGGCCGGGCTGTAGCACAGCTGGTTAATCACTAGCTGCAATAGATCACTGCCAACCGGAAGGTGACAGATTCAAAGCCTGAGTCAGATTGAGCACCCGACTGTTAAGCCTAGCTTACTGTCCACCTAAGCAGTTCGAAAACGGCTGAGCTGTGAGTAGAGAAATTAGGGACTGCTTAAAGCGGGGAGGTATTTTACGACACCATAAAAACACCAAAAAATTATTTATTTATTTATTTCATATATTTATATCTCGCCCTTCTATCTGTCCGTCTGTCTGTATTTATAGAAATTGGCACTGAATGTTTGCCGTGTATGTGTGTATTGTGATCCGCCCCGAGTTCCTTCGGGGTGAGAAAGGTGGAATATAAATACTGTAAATATATCAAATAATAAATAAATTGGGTAGGAGACTAAGAATGCAACGTTCTTGGAAATGTAGTTTGGGAAGGCAGAGAATGCAATAGGCCCTGCCCTAAACTACATTTCCCAGAATGCAGTGCTCAGCCTCAGAAAACCCCAATGGCATCGGCCGTTTAGTTGGTCTAATAATCTAAATAAATAAAAATGTAAATGTAAATAAAAAAAACAACAATATATATGTGGTATGTATGTATATATATGTATGTATGTATGTATATGTATGTATATGTGTATATATATATATATATGTGTGTGTGTGTGTGTGTGTGTGTGTGTGTGTGTGTGTGTGTGTGAGATTAACAGAACTCAAAAACCACTAGACGAATTGGCACCAAATTTGGACACAAGACACCTAACAACCCAATGTATGTCCTTCACTAAAAAAAATATGATTTTGTCATTTGGGAGTTGTAGTTGCTGGGATTTATAGTTCACCTACAATCAAAGAGCATTCTGAACTCCACCAACGATGGAATTGAACCAAACTTGGCACACAGGACTCCCATGACCAACAGAAAATATTGGAAGGGTTTTTTCCCACCAAAATGGAACTGTAGAGGAGAGTCTACTGAACAAGCCAGTATCTGCCGCATACCAGTACTGCCATCTGTTGAGGAGTTACAAAGGTGGAGGCATTACTTTTCATTCAACCCTCATAATAACAAATTTTTCACTAACTATACTTTAGGAACACTTTAGAAATGAAATGTCAGCACCTCCAGTTTGGTAATGACTTCTCCATCATTTTGAATGGATTGCATATCCCTAGCAACCAGTCTTTGTGGCAGGCAGAGGCATCCACAAGCCATCCTACACAAAGGACAGAGAGAGAGAGAGAAAAGAGGCACCCGCTTACTTTGCATTGGAGACGGTGGAGTCTTTGGTGAAGCTGAAATAGTTGGAGATGTTTTTGTCGTAAGGCAGCCAGCCATGGGTTCCCAGCAGCCCATTGGCACTTACAGTGACCTGCAGGGAAGGAAGACGATGGTTTATCCAATGCTTTTAAATGCATTGAGATGTTTTTTCTACTTGTATTAATGTATATATTTTATATATGGCATCGAATTGTGTTGACTTGTTCGCCGCCCTGAGTCGCTTTCAGGCTGATATGGGCGGGGTAGAAATAGCGTAAATAAATAAATAAAATAAATAAAGAAGAAAAAGTAGAAGACGACGACGACGATGACTCTGGCACAAGCCAGTCACGGTGGTCCCAGTGGTGATCGGCACACTGGGTGCAGTGCCTAAAGACCTTGGCCTGCACTTAAACACAATCGGCGCTGACAAAATTACTATCTGCCAGCTGCAGAAGGCCACCTTACTGGGATCTGCACATTATTCGCCGATACATGACACAGTCCTAGACACTCGGGAAGTGTCCGACATGTCATCCAATACAACAGCCGGCAGATGTCTGCTATGGACCCATCTTGTTGTGTTTCAAATAATAATAATAATAAAAACAACAATAATAATAATAATAATAATGATACTACTATATTTTTTAATAATAATAATAATAATATTATTATTATTATTATTATTATTATTAATAATAATAATAATAATAATAATAATAGTCCTAGACACTTGGGAAGTGTCCTACGTGTGATCCAATACAACAGCCAGCAGAGTGACCTTGTCTGCTGTGGACTCATCTTGTTGTGTTTCTAATAATAATAATAATAATAATAATAATAATAATAATTATTATTATTATTATTATTTATACCCCACATTTGGTAGCCCCCGGTGGCGCAGTGGGTTAAACCACTGAGCTGCTGAACTTGCTGACCGAAAGGTCGGCAGTTCAAATCCGGGGAGCAACGAGAACTCCCGCTGTTAGCCCCAGCTTCTGCCAACCTAGCAATTCAAAAACATGCAAATGTGAGTAGATCAATAGGTACCGCTTCTGCGGGAAGATAACAGTGCTCCATGCAGTTATGTTGGCCACATGACCTTGGAAGCGTCTACGGACAACGGCAGCTGTTCGGCTCAGAAATGGAGATGAGCACCAACACCCAGAGTCAGACACAACTAGACTTATAATAATAATAATAATAATAATAATAATAATAATAATAATGGGAAGTGTCCGACGTGTGATCCAATACAACACCCAGCAGAGTGACCTTGTCTGCTGTGGACTCATCTTGTTGTGTTTCTAATAATAATAATATATTTTTCATTATATATATATATATATATATATATATATATATATATATATATATATAATATAGTCCTAGACATTTGGGAAGTGTTTGACGTGTGAGCCAATACAAGAGCCAGCAGAGTGACCTTGTCTGGTGTGGATCATCTTGTTGTGTTAAATAATAATAATAATGATACTATATGTATTGTCGAAGGCTTTCATGGCTGGAATCACTAAGTTCTTGTGGGTGAGGTGAGGTCTGTTGGAACTGGGAAAGAAGGGTTTATATATCTGTGGAATGACCAGGGTGAGACAAAGGACTTTTGTCAGTTGGGCTAGGTGTGAATATTTCAACTGACCACCTTGATTAGCATACAATAGGCTGACTGTGCCTGGAGCAAACTCTTCTTGAAAGGTAAAGCCATTAAATGCTAATCAAGGTGGTCAGTTGAAACATTCACACCTAGCCCCAGCAGACAAAAGTCCTTTGCCCCACCCCGGCCATTCCACAGATATATAAACCCATTTTCCTAGTTCCAACAGACCTCACTACCTCTGAGGATGCTTGCCATAGATGCAGGCGAAACGTCAGGAGAAATGCCTCTAGAACATGGCCATATAGCCCGAAAAAACCCACAAGAACTTAATGATACTATATATTTTTCAATAATAATAATAATAATAATAATAAAAATAATAATAATACTATATATTTTTCAATAATAATAATAGTAATAATAATAGTCCTAGACACTTGGGAAGTGTCCAACGTGTGATCCAATACAACACCCAGCAGAGTGACCTTGTCTGCTGTGGACTCATCTTGTTGTGTTTCTAATAATAATAATAATAATAATAATAATAATAATAATAATAATAGAATAATAATAATAATAATAATTGAATAATAATAAGAAAATGAACATGTCAAACTACTCTGAAGTGTTCAACGTGTGATCCAATACAACAGCCAGCAGAGTGATCTTGTTTGCTGTGGACTCATCTTGTTGTGTTCCAAATAATAATAATAATAATAATAATAATAATAATAATATTAACCACAACCCAATAGTAATAATAATATAATAATAATAATAATAGTCCTAGACATTTGGGAAGTGTTCAACGTGTGATCCAATACAACAGCTGGCAGAGTGATTTGTCTGCTGTGGACTCATCTTGTTGTGTTTCAATAATAATAATAATAATAATAATAATATTAATATTAGTCCAATAATAATAATAATAATAATAATAATAATAATAATAATAAGTCCTAGACACTTGGGAAGTGTCCGACGTGTGATCCAATACAACAGCCAGCAGAGTGACCTTGTCTGCTGTGGACTCATCTTGTTGTGTTTAAAATTAATAATAATAATAATAATTATTATTATTATTATTATTATTATTATTATTTATACCCCACATTTGGTAGCCCCCGGTGGCGCAGTGGGTTAAACCACTGAGCTGCTGAACTTGCTGACCGAAAGGTCGGCAGTTCAAATCCGGGGAGCAACGAGAACTCCCGCTGTTAGCCCCAGCTTCTGCCAACCTAGCAATTCAAAAACATGCAAATGTGAGTAGATCAATAGGTACCGCTTCTGCGGGAAGATAACAGTGCTCCATGCAGTTATGTTGGCCACATGACCTTGGAAGCGTCTACGGACAACGGCAGCTGTTCGGCTCAGAAATGGAGATGAGCACCAACACCCAGAGTCAGACACAACTAGACTTATAATAATAATAATAATAATAATAATAATTATTATTATTATTATTATTATGTTTATTTATATCCCCTTTATTTCTCTCGCAGGAGCCTCAAAACAGCTTAACATAAAAGTATCAATATACAAGAAATATAAAAATATGCAAACACTAAAAAAGGATTAAATGTAAGCAGCAATACTTACTTTTTGAGTCTGGCATAAACTATTTGGGTAGCTGTTATAGTATTTTGAAATAATACCATGTTTTTCTTATGGATGCCATCATTTGCTAGTCCCGATAAAAATATCTCTGGCAAAAATTGTATATTCTGTTGCAAAATTCTTCGGATTGTTTCCTTAACAGCTGTTCAATGTGTATGTGTTTATTTGTTTATTGGACCAGGTCTTTCTCACCCTATATCTAAATATCACTTCTGGAATGGGTTTAGTGCTGAGGAACCCTACCAGACAAGTGTTGATCACAAAGGAATAGAGATTTTGACTCACCAGAACGTCAGGAGACCCCTGAGTCATGAAGGAATGGGCTTGGTTCTTGGGGACCACCGCTTGCACCAGGGGGATGCCATCGCTGATGCCCTGAAAGCAGAAGGAGAAGGAGAAGAAGAGGGAAAAGAGAAGGTGAAAGAGGAGAAGGTGAAGGAGATGGAGGAGATGGAGGAGTGGATGGAAATGAGGGAGGAGGAGAAGATATTGAAGGAGAAGGAAAAAACGATGGAGAAAGAGAAGGTGAAGAAAAGGTGAAGGAGAAGGTTATAGAAGAAGAGAAGAAGGAGGTGAAGGAAGAGAGAGAAGGTGAAAAAGCAAAAGCAGAAAGAGGTGAGAAGGTGAGAAAAAGAAAAGGGTGGAGAAGAAAAATATGAAGGTGATGGTGAAGGAGAAAGAAGGTGAAAGAGAAGGTGAAGAAGAAGATGAAGGAGCAGATTATAGGAGGATGTGAAAGGTAAGGAGGTGAAGGACGTGAGGGAAGGTGAAAGTGAATGAGAAAAAAGAGAAGGTGATAGAAAAGGAAGATAAGGTGGAGAAGAAGAATGTGAAGAAGATGGAGAAGGAGGAGAAACAGAAGGTGAAGGAGAAAGTGAATGAGAAGGTGAAGGAAAATGAGGAAGTAAATGTGAAGGAGATGGTAAAGAAGGAGAAAGAGAAGGTGAAAGAAAAGGAAGAGAAGGTGAAGAAGGAGAAAATGAAGTTGAGGAAGAAGATTATAGGAGGATATGAAAGTGAAGATGAAAGTGAAGAAAGAGAGAGAAGATGAAAGAGAACGAGGAGGAAAAGGTGAAGGAGATGAAAGTCAAGGAGGTAAAGGAGTAAATGGAGGAGTGGATGGAAGTGAGGGAAGAGGAAGAAAAGATTGTGAAGGAGAAGAATAAAGAGAAGGTGAACGGGAAGGTGAAAGAAAACGAGTAAGTAAAAGCGAAAGAGATGGTAAAGGAGGAGAAAGAATATGAAAAAGAAGGTGAAGAAGGGGAAGATGAAGGAGGATGTGAAGATGCAGTTGGATGTGAAAGAGGAAATGAAAGTGAAGAAGGTGAAGGTGAAGGAAGAGAGAAAGTGAAAGAGAACAAGGAGGATAAGGGGAAGAAGAAGACGGTGAAAGTGAGGGAGAAGAACGAGAAGGTGAAGAAGGAGAAGATGGTGACAATTATAAGAGGATGTGAAAGAGAAGATAGAAGGGAGGAAGGTGAAGGAAGAGAGAGAAGGTGAAAGAGAAGGAGGAGTAAAAGTTGGAGATGGTGAAAGTGAAGGAGAAAGAGAAGGTGAGAGAAAAGGAAGAGAAGGCGAAGATTAAAGGGGGATGCGAAAGTGAGGAGAGTGAAGGAAGAGAAAGAAGGTGAAAGAGAACAAGGAGAAAGTGAGGAATGAGAGAACAAAGAGGAGAAGTTGGAGATGGAGAACGTGAAGGAGGAGAAAGAGAAGGTGAAAGTTAAGGAGGAGGAGAAGAAGGCAGAGGAGGAAATGAAAGAAAAGGAGAAGAAGGAGATAGTGTATGAGAAGGTGAAGAAGAAGCAAAACACATTCTTTCTGACTCCTCTCTGACTTTGCAAACCCTGTGCCATTCCCACCCAATGCTCTTTCCTCCGTCCTTTCTTGAAAGGAAGAAGGACTTACTTCCACAAAGAAGGATTTCAGTTCTCCGAGGTTCTCGAAAATGTTGGGGGAAAAGGTGTCCAGCCGAGAGAGTCTCCGGGCGGCATTTTCAGCCGAAAGCCTGGCCGGGTGAGGTTCCTGCGCACGAAAGGAGGGACATCAATGCCTTGGTGAGCAACTCCCCAAGAATATGAGGAAACATGAGTGCTTTGCACCAATCCCCTGTTACCTTCAGCAGCTGGCATGGGGTTTGCCCAAAGTTGCTGATGATGCCTTCCAAAGCCTTCCGTTGGGTTTCGTCAGCGATGGCGTCCAAGTCAACGGCTCCTAGAGCAACAGTGGGAGGTAGAAACGTAGTGTCATGGCGTTGAAGGAGACCCAAAGGCCATCTAGTCCAACCTGTTATAGTAAGTCATAGCAGGTTCAAGTGTGTGTCTTAAAGAAAAACCTTATGTTGTTAATTATTATGTGCAGCTGGTAATGTAGGTCAGCCAGCATGTTTGAGTCACAGCTGGTGGGGTATAATTGTATGGGTTTTAGAATACAGTTTGGAGAAGCAATATGCTGCTCTGAAGGAGATGCTGGTATGCTCTAACACAGTGTTTCTCAACCTGGGGGTCGGGACCCCTGAGGGGGTCGTGAGGGGGTGTCAAAGGGTTCGCCAAAGACTATCAGAAAACATAGTATTTTCTGTTGGACACTGGGATTCTGTGTGAGAAGTTTGACCCAATTCTATTGTTGGTTGAGTTCAGAATGCTCTTTGATTGTAGGTGAACTATAAATCCCAACAACTACAACTCCCAAATGTCAAGGTCTATTTTCCCCAGACTCCACCAGTGTTCACATTTGGACATATTGAGTATTTGTGCCAAGTTTGGTCCAGATCCATCATTGCATGAATCCACAGCACTCCTCTGGATATAGATAAACTATAACTCCCAAACTCAAAGTCAATGCCCACCAAACTCTTCCAGTGTTTTCTGTTGCTCATGGGAGTTCTGTGTGCCAAGTTCGGTTTAAATCCATCCCTGGTGGAGTTCAGAATGCTCTTTGATTGTAAGTGAACTATAAATCCCAGCAACTACAACTCCCAAATTACAAAATCGATCCTCCCCCCAACCCCACTATTGGGCATATTGGGTATTTGTGCTCAATTTAGTCCAGTGAATGAAAATCCATCCTGCATATCAGATATTCACATTACGATTTATAACAGTAGTAAAATGACAGGTATCAAGTAGCAACGAAAACAATATTATGGTTGGGGGTCACCACAACATATGGAACTGCATTAAGGGGTCACTGCATTAGCAAGGTTGAGAACCACTTCTCTAACAGCAACGCTCTTTGCTATGGTGGAATAGCTATTTACTCAAGGTTTATGTTTTGCTCTCTCATTTGAATGAAGATGAAGAAGCCTTATTCTGTGTTACTTACAAGGACTATGTAAGTTTGTTGCACTGTTTGATTTCGTATGCAACACTGCAAATTTATTACCGCTGTTGATAAGAGTACATTTTTTCTGTTCCTTTTTTCCCTCTTGCTTGTGTGCCTTTTGCAGTTGGACATGGCTAAAACACGCTCTGTGCTACACAACCCCTTTCTACCACGCTAAAACCGTTTTATTGCTGATCCGGAGGGTTCACGCTCTCTACAAACCCGCTGGTTTCACAGCATTGAGCTATGGCATTAATTCCACAATGCAGATGCATGCTCCAGATGCTTGGATATGTTCCACCCCAGAGTAGGAACAGGACTCTCAAATCATTAAATACACCACACCCTGGATGAAAGAAGAGTCTGTTAGGATTTATTGAGATATATTGTGTATGTGTTTTCAATGTAATTCTTGTATTGCCAATATGGATGCCACTTAGAATGATATGCTATGCTGAAATGTTTATGTTGAGGCTGTGATTGAGTGACCTTAAGAGAAGCTCTCTGCTGCTGAGAAAATTTAGGGAGTAGCCGCTTGGAGCAGAAGAGCTTAGCCGCTGCAAAAAAACTGTTCTGACTTTCAGTTTTCCCGTGTTATCCTGTGTGTCGCTCGCTGAAGATGGATGTGCTTTTGCTCTTTGCTTAGTAAACTGAATTTTCCTTGTAACCTGACGTCTCCAGAGTCCATGATTTTACAGAGCTGTATCTGGTGTAGCATTTGCTTCTGTCAAGTTGCGCTTTAGCTTGACAGAGTCATCTTTATTTGAAGGATAATTGGAGCCAATAGAAGAGACAAATATAGAATCATAGAATCATAGAATCAAAGAGTTGGAAGAGACCTCATGGGCCATCCAGTCCAACCCCCTGCCAAGAAGCAGGAATATTGCATTCAAATCACCCCTGACAGATGGCCATCCAGCCTCTGCTTAAAAGCTTCCAAAGAAGGAGCCTCCACCACACTCCGGGGCAGAGAGTTCCACTGCTGAACGGCTCTCACAGTCAGGAAGTTCTTCCTAATGTTCAGTGGAATCTCCTTTCTTGTAGTTTGAAGCCATTGTTATTAGTCTCCAGGGAAGCAGAAAACAAGCTTGCTCCCTCCTCCTGTGGCTTCCTCTCACATATTTATACATGGCTATCATATCTCCTCTCAGCCTTCTCTTCTTCAGGCTAAACATGCCCAGTTCCCTAAGCGGCTCCTCATAGGGCTTGTTCTCCAGACCCTTGATCATTTTAGTCGCCCTCCTCTGGACACATTCCAGCTTGTCAATATCTCTCTTGAATTGTGGTGCCCAGAATTGGACACAATATTCCAGGTGTGGTCTAACCAAGGTGGAATAGAGGGGAGCATGACTTCCCTAGATCTAGACACTATGCTCCTATTGATGCAAGCCAAAATCCCATTGGCTTTTTTTTGCCGCCACATCACATTGTTGGCTCATGTTTAACTTGTTGTCCACGAGGACTCCAAGATCTTTTTCACACGTACTGCTCTCGAGCCAGGCATTGTCCCATTCTGTATCTTTGCATTCGTTTTTCCTGCCAAAGTGGAGTATCTTGCATTTGTCACTGTTGAACTTCATTTTGTTAGTTTTGGCCCATCTCTCTAATCTGTCAAGATCGTTTTGAATCCTGCTCCTGTCCTCTGGAGTATTGGCTATCCCTCCCAATTTGGTGTCGTCTGCAAACTTGATGATCATGCCTTCTAGCCCTTCATCTAAGTCATTAATAAAGATGTTGAACAGGACCGGGCCCAGGACAGAACCCTGCGGCACTCCACTTGTCACTTCTTTCCAGGATGAAGAGGAAGCATTGGTGAGCACCCTCTGGGTTCGTCCATTTAACCAATTACAGATCCACCTCACCGTAGTTTTGCCTAGCCCACATTGGACTAGTTTGTTTGCCAGAAGGTCATGGGGGACCTTGTCGAAGGCCTTCCTGAAATCCAGGTACGCTCCATCCACGGAAGAGACAAATATAAAGCTGATAAAAGTCAAAAAGCAAAAAAGCAGTAACGTAAACAGTGTCCAAACATAGGAATAATAACAGAGTTTCAAAAGCTTGCTGTACAAATCCAGATGCAATGAAATATCAAATGTCTTCAATAAAAACCGTGAATATAGCCACTGCTAATCCATTAGAAAAGCCAGGAAGCCTTGGAGACGAGACCACAGGTATATCCAAAAGACTTGACTTGAAACCAAACGATGCCTGGTCTGAAGGAAATTCCCTAAGAGCTCAATTTAAGTCCCAGAAACTGATTTCTACTCCCCCCCAGTCTTTGACCTTAATTGCCGAATTCTTTCTGACCTGCGTAAACATTGGGCTGCTCTACGGTTCTGACTAATTTCCAGACGGCGACTGGTCTTATCTATCTCTTCATTAACAGCAGGTGTGAAGCTATCTTGCAGACTTGAGCCTGGAGAAGGGAGTGAACTTTTCTGCAAACTCGAGCAGAAATTTTCTCATGAGAACTTAGCCTTTCCCCTGATCCTTCTCGATCAGAGTCTATAGTAACCTTATTGTCCAAAGTGTCTCCATTTTGCACCTCATCCTCACTGACATCCAAGACAGGCTCAGAAACATTAGAAGGGGGAAACACTATCACAGATTCAGGGTGAAACACAGGCTGAGTCCCAACAGGATATGCAGGGCATTTACTTACCTTCATAGGTGCAATAATAGAAGACGTTCAATGCTTCCACAGCTGCGGGGCCCCTTTGCTTGTACCCAAAGATTAAGTCGATCCACTCATGTAAATGGGCAGAGACATACTCCGATTCCTGCCAAGGAAACAATATCCGTAAGCATGGATCAGGTGCCATTTCCCCCAAATAACACCACCACGACACATAGGAGCAATTATTCTTGTCCAGAGAATTTGCACATTGAACAAAGGCTGAAATTTAAAGCTGAAATTTAGATATATGACTAATAAGGGTGCATCTACACTGTAGAGTTAATGCAGTTTGACACTACTTCAACCACCATGTCTCAATGCTATGGAATTCTAGGAATTGTCATTTCACAAGTCTTCAACTTTCTCTGCTTCCTTGACAAATAGCAACTCACATGATTCCACAGCATTGAGCCAAGGCAGTTAAAACGGTGTGAAACTGCATTCATTCAACATTGTAGATGCACCCATGGAATCATGGGAGTTGTATTTTGATGAGACCCTCCTTGGTAGAAAAGATGCAAGGCCTTTTGAAAACTCCCAGGATTCCATAGAATTGAGACATTGCAGTTAAAGTGGGTTCAAACTGCGTTTGTTCGACAGTGTAGATGGATTCCTGTTTCTCTCCATAAGACACAACAGCAAAACTTGCCAGAACAGGGCTGCCATAAAGTTCAGAGTTGACTTGAAGGCAACATAACAACAACAAAGCAAATAATATATCAGATTCCCTCCATTGGTGAGGCCTAACCCCACCTTGCAGGTCCTTCAATCTTACCAGGGCTTTTCTGTGTTTGTGGATAAAGTCTTCTGGGGACTCGGCCCACCGGGGAAGGATGACGTCCCTCACCTTTTCGTTGGAGATCTGGAGGGAGCCCAGGTCAAAGCCTACGAGGAACGGAGGGAGAGATATCAAAGTATAGGGCACTGAGTAAGCTCTAGCTCCGCTCGTCTCCCATCTCTTCTCTCACTTCAAAGACTTCTCTTAAGTTCTCCAGAAGATGAAGGCAAAGGTCAAGGAGAAGGTGAATCAGGAGAAAGGGAAGAAGAAGGTGAAGAGGATGGTGGAGGAGAAAGAAGAAAGTGGAGAAGGAAGATGAGGGGAAGGTGAAGATGAAGATGAAAGTGAAGTTGGAGGAGAAAGAAGGCGAAGGTGAAGGTGGAGGAGGAAAAAGGAGAAGGGTGAGAAGGAGGAGGAAAAGATGCTGGTGAGGAAGATGGTGAAGGCAGAGGAAAAAGAAGGTGAAGGAGGTGAATGAAGATGATGGTGGAGTAGATGAAGGTGAAGGAGAAGATGGAGGGGAAAAAAGAGGAGAAGGCAGAGGAGGTGAAGATCATGGTGAAAGAGGAGAAGATGAAGGCAGGGTAGACAGTAGAGGAGAAAAGTTGGAGGAGATAGGAGAAGAGTGAAGAGTAGGATATGTTGATGGTGAAGATGGAGGAGAAAGAAGGTAAAGAAGTTGTGAAGGAGAAGGTGAAGGAGAAAGAAGATGAAGTAGGTGGATGAGAAGGAGGAGGTGAAGATAATGGTGAAGGAAAAGAGTAGGTGGAGGAAAAAGAAAGTGAAGGTCAAGGAGAACAAAAAGATGGAGGAGAAAGGAGGATGAGGACCAGGAAGTGAAGATGATTGTGAAGAAGATAATGAAGGTGAAGGAAAAGGGGAAGGTGATGGGGAAAAGAAGAAGGAGGAGGTGGTGATGATGAAGGTGAAGGAGATGAAGGTGGGGGAGATGATAGAGGAGAAAGAAGTTAAAGATGAAAGAGGAGAATGTGGAGGAGAAAGGAGAAGGGCGAGGAGAAGGTGAAGATGATGGAGAAGAAGATAGTGAAGGTGAAGGAGAAGTTGGAGGAGAAAGAAGGAGAAGGTTGAGATGATGGCGAAGGAGAAGATGAAGGTGCAGGTGGGGGAGAAAAAAAGTTAAAGATGAAAGAAAATGAAAAGGTGGAGGAGAAAGAAGAAGGGTTAGGAGGAGAAGTTGAAGACGTTGGTGAAGAAAATGGTGAAGGTGGAGGAGAAGGTGAAGGAGAGAGTGAAGATGAAAGCGAAAAAGAAAGAAGAAGTAGGAGAAAGTGGAGCAGGAAGGAGGAGGAGGTGGTGGTGAAGATGATTGTTAAGGAGAAGATGAAGGTAGAGAAGTTGGGGGAGAAAGGAGGAGAAGGATGGGGTGGAGAATAGGTACTTCTGGACCATTGACATTTCCTTAGGAATCCCTTGATCCTCCATGCCAATTCAATGGGCAGTGTCTATTGGAAGCTGACCATAGACTTGGACTGGAGAACCTAGAAATGGCCAACAAATACCAGATGTTCAATGATATGGAATCCTGAGAGTTATAGTTTTACAAGGCCTTTAGCTTTCTCTGCCAAAGAGGACTGGTTCTTCACCAAACTACTAATCCCAGTATCCCACCTTAAGAAATGGGTTCGCTTCCAGCGCAATAAAGAAATAAATAGTATCCCACAGTATTGAACTACGGCAGTTAAAAAGGGTGTCAAACTGCATTAATTCAATAATGTAGATGCACCCAAAATAAATAAAAATAAAAATTCAAACTATAAAGCAAAACCTATCCTAGGAATCTGCCTGGTCAATGTAGGTAATTTCGTTGGCCCATTGGAATGAACCATGTGAGGCGTTTTCCCAACTGACCATTCTGGTTTTCCAGGAAGTCTGTAAAGTAGAAGAATTCCGGAATCAACTCCTTCACGTCAACAGGGTTTTCCATTCGGACTTGCCAAGCGGCCGGGATGGAATGAAACTGGCGGTCAGAGCAGTCAAACCTGTTGAAATAAAATTGTTATTAATATTATTTATTATAGAGTTTAGCTGTTATTAAATGTCAAGTCTCAGGTGAAAACTTTGGTTTGCTGTGGAAACAAGGGTTGGAGATAAAGCTTCACTGGAGACCCCTTTCCACCATGATAATAATTCTTCCAAGAGTGAATTTCCCTTCCTTCCAAGGAGAAGGTTTCTATCATTTCCTGTTGTCTAACCCTTATTCTTTAACTAGGAGTTGTCTGTAAGTTGGATGTTTACTCAGGACTGTTGTAGTCTGGCAAGTGTCAGAGGATTCAGAGGATGAGGACACCTAGGGAAGTCATGCTACCCATTGCTCTATTCCACCTTGGTTAGACCACACCTGGAATATTGTGTCCAATTCTGGGCACCACAATTCAAGAGAGATATGGACAAGCTGGAATGTGTCCAGAGGAGGGCAACTAAAATGATCAAGGGTCTGGAGAACAAGCCCTATGAGGAGCGGCTTAAGGAGCTGGGCATGTTTAGCCTGAAGAATAGAAGGCTGAGAGGAGATATGATAGCCATGTATAAATATGTGAGAGGAAGCCACAGGGAGGAGGGAGCAAGCTTGTTTTCTGCTTCCTTGGAGACTAGGACACGGAACAATGGCTTCAAACTACAAGAGAGGAGATTCCATCTGAACATGAGGAAGAACTTCCTGACTGTGAGAGCCGTTCAGCAGTGGAACTCTCTGCCCCAGAGTGTGGTGGAGGCTCCTTCTTTGGAAGCTTTTAAACAGAGGCTGGATGGCCATCTGTCAGGGGTGATTTGAATGCAACGTTCCTGCTTCTTGGCAGAATGGGGTTGGACTGGAGGTCTCTTCCAACTCTTTGATTCTAGGATTCTAGGAGTCGTCTATAAGTTGGATGTTTATTACTCAGGACTGTTGTAGTCTGGCAAGCGTCAGAGGATTCCAAGGATGAGGGGTGCCAAAATGAAACATCTGAGACTGTTTAGGGAGAACTGCAGACAGGTCAAGCTGACCCAGCTGATGCTTTGCATTCATTAGATCATTCGCAGGCAACCACGGAAAGTGAAAGTCTCATTTACATGGAGAAAAGGTCTTGGGAAGATGAGGAGGTCAAGGAGGTTTCAAGGGAGTGTGGATTAGATTTGAAAACACAGGGTGTGAAAAACAGCAAACTAGGTCTTCCCAGCGAATCTGAGATAAGACCCTGAAATCCAGGTGCCTTAGACATGATTTCATGGGAAGTTCAACAGGCTTAAATTAAGTGCTTTGGCTTAAAGCATCTCCAGCTCATCCCCTGTTTGGGTATCAGCCAGCACATCAACAACTTAAATCTAGACATAGTTTTCTAAGATCTACAGAGACACTTGCTGGAACACCTCAGCAAGCGAGAGTCCAAAAGTGGCAGGCTCAAACCCAGAACCTCAACCAATGGCTGATACCAAGTGAGAGACTCCCCCCTGGCACACAGAGGACGGAGCGACTTGGAAGGCGCTGAACAGACTGCGCTCTGGCACCTTGATTAGCATTTGATTGCCTGGCAGTGCCTGGAGCAATCTTTTATTGAGAGGTGATTAGATGTCCTTGTTTGTATTTATGTGTGTTCGGCATCTATTTGTTGCCAGTCTGTACGCCGCCCTGAGTCGCCTTCGGGCTGAAAAGGCCGGGATAAAAGTGTGGTAAAAAAATAAAATAAAAAAGTACCTTTGAATACGTACCTGGAAATTATCTTGGATTATTTCTATGTTTTTGGAGTTCTTGGTTCTGAGATTTTTCCTGGCATTTTTGAATTACTGCTATTGAACTCTGACTTTTTTTGTATACTGCATGCTATATCCTGTCTTGTTTGGATTTGACCTTTCCCCCCTTTTTATGTTCTTTCTTTAATAAACATTTTATTACTGGACTACTGGTCTTTGGTGTGGTGCTGGGTGAAAGGGTGTCTCAGTGCTAGGGTGCAACAGGAACTGTCTGTGTTGGCATATGCCTTGTGTGGTCGGAGGAACGGAGAGGCTATTTTGGCCAAGGTCTGCTTGCAAGTCTTCTGCTCACCTTCCACTCTGCAGCTGGATGTGCAAGGTGGTGAAGGGCTCTGTCCGGATGAGGTAGTGCATGACGCCCGCGGCGTTGGAGTAGTGGGTGCCGTAGTGGAACTTGTCAATCATCCCAGTGGGGTCCTCAAAGCTCTCGTACCTGAGGGGCAAGGGAATGTCAGAGTATTGACGCTTGCCAACAGAAGGATTGCTAGATCAGCAGACACTGTGTTCCAAAAATCAGGACTCTGCAGACTTTCAGTTACAAGAGAAAACTAAGTTTACTAAGTACATCTACACACGTCTATTCACAGCAAGCTACAGATAGGAACTCCTAGGCAAAAACAACAGTCTCTGAACACCTGCTTATCTAACTTCTCGCTGAGACCAGTTCCTCCCTCTTCTTCCTAGCCAGAGAACACGTTATCTCATTTCTGTCAAGGTTACAGTTTCACAGCCTCAGCACACTATTTCTAATACACCATAGAACAGAATAGAATCCATCTTGAATTACATCTTAATCCATCTTGAAGTATATAGAAGCACATTGAAAAACACACATACATAACTAAATAATCCTGACAGGGAAGGCAACACACCACGCTCACCATCAATGGCACCTCTTCCTCTTCTTCAGTCCTGGGCCATTTGGGCTATTCCTCATCCTTATCAACTACTTGGACAAGGATGGAATAGATGCCATGCCCATCCCACTCACAGATGGGACCAAATTGGGATAACTGATACCCCAAAGGACAGGATCAGGATCCAAAAGGACCTCAATAGATGATAGAGCTGATTGGTCAAAACTAAAATGAACTTCAACAAGGAGAAATTGACTCTACTACATTATAAAGGTGAAAATATGTACATATATTTGCACTTCAAAGCCTCCTGCGTGGCTTGATGGATTTGGACCAAACCTGGCACACAGACCCTTCATTGTCCAACTTAAAATACTGGTGTGGTTTCAGAAACCCACTGTAGGCTGTAACATTGCACATAAATGAATACGTAATGCCACACAACATATATAGTTTTCTGTTGCCACTTTAATACCTGGGACGTACTCTGTTTCTGTCCTGTTACAAGTGTCTTTCTTCCTGTCTCAGTGAGGGGAAAAATAATTTCCTTTCTAAATCCCTTTACCGCCTTGTACTGCTGCAGTTTCCCTTTTATATTGGCTGGGGCTTTCTTGTGAGCTGTTAAACCTTTGTGCTTTATATCACATGCTTGAGACACTCCGGTAAGCAACAAAGTAACAAAGTTTATTTATAGCTTCTGGTTCCAATGCTTTATGTTTTGTTACAGTCTCGAGTCTTACATTCAGTATCATTCACTCAGTTAACTTTTCTTATGAAACCCTCACTATCTCACATCAACAAATATGTTACTTTCTTCATATACCCTTGGCTGAACTATTTTCTGACTTAGGCCACCCTGGCGCCTTCTTATTTTTCCTTAAACCTGGTGTTGCCTTGGGTTGCATTTTCGAATGGGACCATTCAAAAATAACAATGGGTATTCCTAATAAATAGCATGCACAAATGGCTTTTTCGGGCAATGCCTCTCTATATAAATAAAAATGTAATGTTCGTTTGTGGGATTAACATAACTCAAAAACCACTGGATGAATTGACACCAAATTTGGACAGCATGCACCTAACATCCCAATGTATGTCCTTCACTAAAAAAATTGATTTTGTCATTTGGGAGTTGTCGTTTCTGGGATTTATAATTTACCTACAATCAAAGAGCATTCTGAACTCCACCAACGATGGAATTGAACCAAATGTGGAAGACAGGACTCCCATAAACAACAGAAAACACTAGAAGGGTTTGGTGGCATTGACCTTGAGTTTGAGAGTTGTAGTTCAGCTACATCCAAAGAGCACTGTGGAATGAAACAATGATGGGTCTGGACCAAACTTGGCATGAATATTCCATATGCCCAAATATGAACACAGATGGAGTTTGGGGGGAAATAGACCTTGACGTTTGGGAGTTGTAGTTACTGGGATTTATAGTTCACCTACAATCAAAGGGCATTCTGAACCCCACCAACGACAGAATTGGGGCAAACTTCCCACACAGGACCCCCATGACCAACAGAAAATACTTAATGCCATCCAGTCCAACTTCACCAAGGCAAGAAAACGTAATTAAACTTCCTGACAAAGAGTCATCCAGCCATAGATATAGTTAGATATATATGATTCACACACAGAGAGATATGGTATCATAGATTTGAAAGGGACCCCTAGAGAAGGACAATTATATGTTGCATGTTCCAGAGTAGGCAAACCAGACGATCTCCACATCAACACTGACAAAGAAACACCATGAAATACTGTTTACACACAAACATAAAGACATTACATGTATTAGAAACCAACACTTTCTCATTAATTTATTTTCCAGATCAGCAGACTGGGCCGCCACAACGCATGGCAGGGAATGGCTAGTTAGCAATAAACATGAAATACACAGGTATAGGTTTGGATGACACCTGGCTTGGAAACAGTCCATACGAAAGGGTTCAAGGAATCTTAGGAGACCTCAAGATGGACATGAGCCAAGAGTGTGACGCGGCAGCAAAAAAGGCCAATGCAATCCTAGGCTGCAACAATAGGAGTCTAGTTTGTGAATAGAGGGAAGTCACAGCCCCGCTCTCACTTGCTTAGGGAAATGCTGGCAGCCACAAATATGAACTTTTGGTGGTCTACAAATTGTACTTTGTATTGTCGAAGGCTTTCATGGCCAGAATCACTGGGTTGTTGTAGGTTTTTTGGGTTGTATGGCCATGTTCTAGAAGCATTCTCTCCTGACGTTTCACCTGCATCTGTGGCAAGCATCCTCAGAGGTTGTGAGGTTTGTTGGAAACTGGGAAATTGGGTTTATCTCCTGGTGAAATGTCAGGAGAGAATGCTTCTAGAACATGGCCATACAACCCGAAAAACCTACAACAACACAAACTGTACTTTCTTCCCGTTCTTCTAAGGAATGCACTCACTTTTCCTTCACGTCCTTGGCGTGTTTTTCATTGGCCACACCAATGGGCTTGGAAAGGTCTCGGAAGACGGATGGGTTGCTAAGGTCCAGGGTCTCCGAGGCATAATCTTGCAGGATCCATGGAAACTGGAGAAAAGGGAGAAAGAATGGGACTTTTTCACTGTTAGGAGGCCAGGGGGGAGTGGAGTTCACATCTAATCTCATTTGCATTAATCACACAATAAATAATAATCACACAATTAATAACAATTAACAATACAAATAAATAAATAAATAAATAACAAGGAACTGGTGGGATCACAAGCCTAAAAGAGTTACAGAGAACGAACATGTCAAACTCCTCTGGGACTTCTGAATTCAGACAGACAAAGTTTTGGAGCACAATACTCCTGACCTCACGATTGTGTTAAAAAACCAAGTATGGCTTGTTGATGTTGCAATCCCAGGCAACAGGCGATTGAAGAGAAACAACTGGAAAAGCTGACACGATATGAAGATTTAGAGATCGAACTGCAAAGACTTTGGCACAAGCCAGTAAAGGTGATCTCAGTGGTTATGGGCACACTGGGTGCAGTCCCTAAAGACCCTGGTCTGCAGTTAAACACAATCGGCAATGACAAAATTACTATCTGCCAGCTGCAAAAGGCCACCCTACTGGGATCTGCACACATTATTCGCCGATAAATCACATAGCCTAGACACTTGGGGAAGTGTCCGGCATGGGATCCAATTCAACAGCCAGCAGAGTGAACTTGTTTGCTGTGGATTCATCATGTTGTGTTTCAAATAATAATAATAATAATAATAATAATAATAATAATAATAATAATAATTGTGGTTATTATTATCATTATACAAGCAGATGGGTAAATTCTCTGGTGAGATATAAAGCTTGAAGCAGGTATCCACTAGCATGAAAGCCAACATTTTGAACATACATACTGCCACTCTATGTCTAATTTTTGTTTTGTGTCTTTTAATATGAATTTATGGAAATACGTTTCAATATGTGTATTTCCGCCCCCGGTGGCGTAGTGAGTTAAAGCACTGAGCTGCTGAGCTTGTTGATCGAAAGGTCGCAGGTTCGATTCCGGGGAGCGGCGTGAGCTTCTGCTGTCAGCCCTAGCTTCTGCCAACCTAGCAGTTCGAAAACATGCAAATGAGAGTAGATCAATAGGTACTGCTCCGGCGGGAAGGTAACGGCGCTCCATGCAGTCATGCCGGCCACATGACCTTGGAGGTGTCTACGGACAACGCTGGCTCTTTGGCTTAGAAATGGAGATGAGCACCATACCCCAGAGTTAGACATGACTGGACTTAATGTCAGGGGACTACCTTTACCCTTTACCTTATGTGTATTGGTTTTAAATTATTTCCATTCTTATATGGAAATTATACGGGGAGTCTAACCCAGATCTATAACAGCATTATTACTACTACTGCTACTACTACTACTATTATATTTATATTATATTATATTATTATCTCTCCAAAAGGAGACTCATAGCAGCTTAACATAAAAGCATCAGCATACAATTTAAAATATACCGACATGCAAACATTAAAACAGGAGTAAATAGAAACAATATTTTTAAAATCCCAGTTAAAAACCATTAAAATGCAACTACGCCTCGGGTTGTGTAATGTAATCACCTCTGCTTTCAACAGTTGTAATGCCCACCATAGATAATACCTTCTATGGACTATTGAACTTTGTATATATGAACTAGTTAAGACAATATATATTCTGCCAGGTTTTCAGTGGGGTTTGTCTGTTGATGGCGCAATGTATTTGTTAGTTTCTACGGTTTCATTTTTTTCTTTCTTGTATGTTTTGTGTTATTGTTATAATAAAGCACCTTGAGGGCACTAATGGAGGAGGCGAGGCTCAAAGGGAGGGAGTAAATGTCTCTATAAATAAATACCGAAGCAAATAAATAATAAAACAATATGCCCTCATTGTGCCTCATTTCCTTACCACGGGATACTGGGAGAGGTCGTTGTAGGTTCGCCCGGCAATGGTGTTCAGCTGCATGAGGTATTCGAAGTTGGAGATTTCCCTGTAAACCCATTTCTGCAGGGAAATAAAGATGCAATACTCGTTTAATAGGATGCAATAAAACACTCAAGTGGGAGCATGCAAAGATATTAAGTGATGTTTTCTTGGAGTCTCCAGAGCAGACAACTTTGCCATAAAATCAAGTTCCTGGATCAGCTCTCATGCTCATGAATCTTGTCTCCTGTGTTTGCCTATGTTCCTGTAAGAGTTTTGCTTTGGAAAAGCTTCTGTTTTTGTGCTTATGGATTTATGCCTGTGAATTTGATTGCCTGGATTCCATGTCCCTTTCCTTTATGGATTACTGAACTTTGTATATATGAACTACTGCTATTTTATAGCACCTCTTCTAATGCTTTTTGGGAGCTGCCTTTCCCCCCTTTTGTACATGCTTTTCTAAATAAACTGCCGTAGTTAGAGGCTGCATGGCCATCTGTCAGGGGTGCTTTGAATGCAATTTTCTTGCTTCTTGGCAGAATGGGGTTGGACTGGATGGCCCACGAGGTCTCTTCCAATGACTCTATGATACTGGACTCTGGTGTGGTGCTAGGTGAAAAAGGGTGACCTTGAGGCTAGAGTGCAACAGATACTACTACTACTACTGCTAATAATAATAATAATAATAATAATAATAATAATATGCAATATATATTTATATATCTGTATATATGTTTGTGTATATACATGTGTGCGTGTGTATATATGCGTGAATGCATGCATCTCTCTCTATCAAGACAATAATATAATTGCAAAATATACTTATGTTTGTGTATATATGTTTGTACGTGTATATGTATTGTTATTTGTATCTCGCTTTATCTCTCTAAACAAGCAACTCAAATCAGTTATGTATATGTGTTGTCTATCTATCTATCTATCTATTATAATAGTAATTATTATATAGAGCACAATCACACAAAATGAAGTCATTTTCTGAAGTTGCGGCCTTAAGGGAAAAAACAGGGTAATAATAATAATAATAATAATAATAATAATAATAATAATAATAATAATGGCAATAGATATTTAAATATACATACGTATGGCTATCTATCTATCATAATTATTCAAAAATATATATTTGACTTCTTGGGGGAGCAGAACCTGGTCCACAAGCCACATTTTGCCCAATACTGCTATAAATGCTCCAGAACCAAGATGCAAAAAGATGATGATGCAAAGTGAGAACCAAATGGGATACAAACAACAACAACAACAACAACAAATCTACAAACAGGAGGATTCTGCACCTGATGCAAAGTGAGAATAAAATGGGATACAAACAACAACAACAACAAATGTACAAACAGGAGGATTCTGCACCTGATGCAAAGTAAGAACAAAATGGGATACAAACAACAACAACAACAACAAATGTACAAACAGGAGGATTCTGCACCTGATGCAAAGTGAGAACAAAATGGCATACAAACAACAACAACAAGAACAACAACAACAAATGTACAAACAGGAGGATTTTGCACCTGATGCAAAGTGAGAACAAAATGGGATACAAACAACAATGGGATACAAATAACAACAACAACAACAAGAAGAAATGTACAAACAGGAGGATTTTGCACCTGATGCAAACTGAGAACACAATGGGATACAAACAACAACAACAACAACAACAACAAATGTACAAACAGTAGGATTTTGCACCTGATGCAAAGTGAGAACAAAATGGGATACAAACAACAACAACAACAACAAATGTACGAACAGGAGGATTTTGCACCAGATGCAAACTGAGAACACAATGGGATACAAACAACAACAACAACAACAAATGTACGAACAGGAGGATTTTGCACCTGATGCAAAGTGAGAACAAAATGGGATACAAACAACAACAACAACAACAACAAATGTACGAACAGGAGGATTTTGCACCTGATGCAAAGTGAGAACACAATGGGATACAAACAACAACAACAACAACAAATGTACGAACAGGAGGATTTTGCACCTGATGCAAAGTGAGAACAAAATGGGATACAAACAACAACAACAACAACAACAACAACAAATGTACGAACAGGAGGATTTTGCACCTGATGCAAAGTGAGAACACAATGGGATACAAACAACAACAACAACAACAAATGTACGAACAGGAGGATTTTGCACCTGATGCAAAGTGAGAACACAATGGGATACAAACAACAACAACAACAACAAATGTACGAACAGGAGGATTTTGCACCTGATGCAAAGTGAGAACAAAATGGGATACAAACAACAACAACAACAACAACAACAACAACAAATGTACGAACAGGAGGATTTTGCACCTGATGCAAAGTGAGAACACAATGGGATACAAACAACAACAACAACAACAAATGTACGAACAGGAGGATTTTGCACCTGATGCAAAGTGAGAACACAATGGGATACAAACAACAACAACAACAACAAATGTACGAACAGGAGGATTTTGCACCTGATGCAAAGTGAGAACACAATGGGATACAAACAACAACAACAACAACAACAACAAATGTACGAACAGGAGGATTTTGCACCTGATGCAAAGTGAGAACACAATGGGATACAAACAACAACAACAACAACAAATGTACGAACAGGAGGATTTTGCACCTGATGCAAAGTGAGAACACAATGGGATACAAACAACAACAACAACAACAAATGTACGAACAGGAGGATTTTGCACCAGATGCAAACTGAGAACACAATGGGATACAAACAACAACAACAACAACAAATGTACGAACAGGAGGATTTTGCACCTGATGCAAAGTGAGAACAAAATGGGATACAAACAACAACAACAACAACAACAACAACAACAAAGGAGGATTCTGCACCTGATGCAAAGTGAGAATAAAATGGGATACAAACAACAACAACAACAAATGTACAAACAGGAGGATTCTGCACCTGATGAAAAGTAAGAACACAATGGGATACAAACAACAACAACAACAACAAATGTACAAACAGGAGGATTTTGCACCTGATGCAAAGTGACAACAAAATGGGATACAAACAACAACAACAACAACAACAACAACAACAAATGTACAAACAGGAGGATTTTGCACCTAATGCAAAGTGAGAACACAATGGGATACAAACAACAACAACAACAACAACAAATGTACAAACAGGAGGATTGTGCACCTGAGTCAATCCAGATGCCTTGAGCAGCTCCTGCGGGGAACGGCTTCCGAAATAAATCTGGTTCGGCGGCCGGAGGCTGAGGATGGAGGAGTACACCTTGTTCCTCACCTGCGGAGGGCAAAAGGGAGGATTAAATTAGGTGCATCTACACCACTAGAATTAACGCACTTTGATACCACTTTAACTACCACGCTATGGAATCCCAGGAGTTTGGTGAAGATCCGGCGCTTTTTCGCAGAGAAGGAGAAAGACTCCCAGGATCCCATAGCACTGAGCCATGATAGTTCAAGTGATGTCAAACTGCATTAATTCTATAGTGCAGATATACCCTGGTAGAAGGAAAGCCCTTACCATCTTCTTGAAGTTGAGGAAGTAGTTTGCCTGGTCGATGAAGAAGAATTCTAGTGCGGATCGGCGAAGATTGTAGCGGCGGAGGTGCAATTCCCGGAGTTGCGCTAAAGGACGCTTGAAGTCGTACCCGATTCCTACGTAAAGCAGGGTGGAAATCCTGAGAGTTGTAGGTTTGGAAGCCCTCTTGGGCAGCAAAAAAAGGCCAAATGCCTTGCAAAACTACAACTCTCAGGAATCCCATGGATTCCATTGCTGGAAAAACCTCTAAGTCAGTTGTTCAGGAGTAGAAAGTGTTTCCTGGGAGTTTAGCGGAGTTTATAATCTAATGTGCTTATAATCTAATATAATCTAATATAATCGAATGTATATACATATAATATTGAGTTTAGCGGAGTTTATAATCTAATTTGCTTATAATCTAATATAATCGAATGTATATACATATAATATTGATAATATGATAATGTAATACAATATATTACTAATAATAAAAAAATGATACTATGATTATATATTTTATATTAAATGTAATATTGCTAATAACATTACAGTACAATGTTATAGTACAATGTAATGCATAATATTAATATTGTGCTATGATAATAATATAATATATTGTATTTACTGTTTACTTGGGAGTTTAGCGGAGTTTATAATCTAATGTGCTTATAATCTAATGTATATACATATAATATTGATAATATTATAATGTAATACAATATATTACTAATAATAATTAAAAGATATTATAATTATATATTTTATATTAAATGTTATATTACTAATAATATTACAGTATAATGTTATAGTACAATGTAATATATAATATTAATATTGTGCTATGATAATAATATAATATATTGTATTTACTGTTTACTTGGGAGTTTAGCGGAGTTTATAATCTAATGTGCTTATAATCTAATATAATCTAATATAATCGAATGTATATACATATAATATTGAGTTTAGCGGAGTTTATAATCTAATTTGCTTATAATCTAATATAATCGAATGTATATACATATAATATTGATAATATGATAATGTAATACAATATATTACTAATAATAAAAAAATGATACTATGATTATATATTTTATATTAAATGTAATATTACTAATAACATTACAGTACAATGTTATAGTACAATGTAATGCATAATATTAATATTGTGCTATGATAATAATATAATATATTGTATTTACTGTTTACTTGTAAGCTGCTCTGAGTCTCCTTCAGGGTGAGAAGGGCGGCATATAAATGTCATAAATAAATATCATAAATAAATAAATTCCTTTCCTAGATGCTTTTAAGCAGTGGCTGTAAGATGTATTGTCGAAGGCTTTCATGGCCGGAATCACTGGGTTGTTGTAGGTTTTTTCGGGCTATGTGGCCATGTTCTAGAGGCATTGGCTGTAAGGCTGTCTGTTGGAAGGGCTTGGATTGTGTCTCCCTGCCTTTCCGGAAAGGGGTTGGACTAGATGGCCTTTGGGGGTCCCTCCCAACACTATGATACTGTGGATGCGTTACCTTCCTCGGTCTCGTCCTTCTCGCTGCTGCCGTCATAGAAGTAGATGTGCTGCGTGGTCACCTCCAAACGCCCCGGGATGACGGCCACGGTGGTGATGAGCTCACAATCCTCCGAGATGACCAGCTTCTCCCTTTGGCTTTGCTCCTTGGGCTCCACGCTGGGAGAAAATAGGGACACCATTTACAGAAAACCCATGCACACTGATAGACATCTAAACAAACAAACAAACAAAAAACTCCAAGCATCACCCAGGTCAAAAAAAAAGCACAATTAAAGCCCTGGCAGAACACCCAAACTGATCTACGAAGCCTACTTTCTCCAAGGATAAGGCTGTTAGTAATGCAGCTAGTTAGTAGCCAGCTGCATTAAATGACTACTGACTAAGAGGTCATGAGTTCGAAGCCAGCCTGGGTCAGAGTGAGCTCCTGACCATTAATAGCCTAGCTAGGGACAGCTAAAGTGATCACTCATTGCGAGGGCAGTGGGCCCGGGACCCCTGCCTCTCTGTCCCGATGGCCACCGATTTGCCCAAAAGGTAACTCAGGAGGACTCACTGGCTGTCCAGGAAAGACAGGTCCTCTTCGGCCAGCTGGTCATCCTGCATCTCGCTGACCTTGGCCTCCTTGGCCACGGCTAAAGGAAGGGATTCGGCCAGGTTGTGCAAGTGGTCAGCGCCTGGAAGAGAGGGAGGAAAGCTGAGATTGCATTGTGGCAGCCCTGGTGGTGCCGACAGAATAGCCCATCTGTCTTAATAAATGGAGAATGTCCTCCAAAATAGGCTTGGCATCTCTACAGAGGCTGCTGGGGATGTTTTTAAGCCAAAATATCACATCCTGCATTGAGCCGAATTGGGTTGGACTAGATGGCCTCTGGGGACCTCTTTTCCAATGGGCTACCATAATTATTTATGTGGAGGTCTTCTACTGAGCTAAAAGTAGGGCTAGATGGCCTCTGGGGACCCCTTTTCCAATGGGCTACCATAATTATTTATGCGGAGGTCTTCTACTGAGCTAAAAGTAGGGCTAGATTGCCGCTGGGGACCCCTTCTCCAATGGGCTACCATAATTATTAATGTGGAGGTCTTCTACTGAGCTAAAAGTAGGGCTAGATGGCCTCTGGGGACCCCTTTTCTAATGGACTATTACTATTTGCATGATTTTGTATTGAGAAGGGGGTTGTACTAGATGGTCTCTGGGGACCCCTTCCAATGGGCTACCATAATTATGTATGTGGAGGTCTTATATTGAGCAAAGAGTAGGGCTAGATGGCCTCTGGAGACCCCTTCCAACAGGCTACCATAATTATTTATGTGGAGGTCTTATATTGAGCAAAAAGTAGGGCTAGATGGCCTCTGGGGTTCCCTTTTAATGGACTACTATTATTTGCATTGAGAAGGGGGTTGGACTCACTAGATGGCCTGTGGGGACCCCTTTCAATTGACTTCTTTCATTCACATAGAGATTTTGCATTGAGAAGTGGCGTCAATGATTTATTTGGAAGTTTTGTATTGAGTAATGGGTTGGACTAGATGGCCTTTGGAGATCCCTTTTGAAAGGACTACCACTATTTAGATGGAGGTATCAAGAAGGGGATTGGGACTAGATGGCCTCTGGGGACCCCTTTGAAAGGACTACTGTAATTTAGATGGAATATCTTACTATTGGGAAGACGGTTGGACTACATGGTCCATCTTACCCAGATTGTCTCGAAGAGCGCTGGCCTCCGCGTGTCGGTCGAAATTGTAATTGGGGACCAGCTTCAGCCGCATTCGAGAGTAGGTCTCTGCACTTGACAGCTTCCAATGCATCTCGGGAGGATTTCTGCACCAAGACACAAGGACCCATTCATAATAAATATCCTCTCCTCTGCAAAAACATTGGGATATCCTGCCATTTCCAGTTTTGTTTCTGGATTTGTTTTGGGTTAGATGGAGCCTCTGGCGGCACAGTGGATTAAACCGCTGTGCTCCTGAACTTGCTAACCGAAAGGTCGCAGGTTGTAATCCAGGGAGCGGAGTGAACTCCCCGTTAGCCCCAGCTTCCTTTCATGCTAGGGAAACATATTCAACGATCTGATTGAAGACAATCCTTTGTCAGTGCAACTTTGCTTACACCCTGTTAACTTCTCTGGAATTGCCTCGGCTTTTGGGGAAAGCTTTGGCTCTTTGGGACGTTGGTTTTGATCTTGGCTTCTGGGGACTTTGTCATGCTGCCATGGATTCTTGTTTGACCCATGCTTGTGGATTATACTTCATGTTATTTGCCTTTCGACCTTGGAAACTCTGCCTTTGCATTTAAGATTCTGTTTTGGCAATTGAACTTTTACAACCTTATTTCTCTGTTTGTGATTTTGCTTTGTCTTCAATAAACTACAAAACCTTCAGCTTTGGAGTGTGGTGTTGTTCTGAGCAAGGTGAATCTTTCCTGAGTTGCGACAAACACTTTCAAACCAGGAACAGAAATTATGTGATTACCGATCGGCCCAGGCCGAGCGCTGGGAGGTGAGCAAGCGCCGCAGGGCCTTCCACTGCTTCAGGACCGTGTTGTGATGGTTGTTGACCTGCTTCAGCATGTTGGTGTGCCGCATGTTCTCGTACTTGGCCCGCTTCATCACCGGCTCCAGAACGAGTTCCTTAAATAAAATGGGGGGAGCAAAAGGGGGCCGGGGAAGGAAGAGGGTGAGGACGGGCAGGAAATGGGTGGAAGGATCTGTGTGCAGCAAGAGGAGGCGGAATATAATCCACGGAACAGGAAAGGGAAGAAAGAGTCAATAGGAAGACATTGTAGGGTTTGCAATGCGAGCGTTTGCAATGCGAAGCATTTGCAAACTTATCTGCAAAACCATAAAGGGATAGATTACATGCATGAGCCAACTTGGGCCCTCCTTCCAGCTGTTTTGGACTTCAACTCCCACAATTCCTAAAAGCCAGTAGGCTTTAGTTGTGCTTCCTTGCCTGGAGAAAGAGGTTGTACTGGATGACCTTTGAGATGTCTTCCAAGTCTATGATTCTACTACTACTACTACTATTTATTATTATTATTATTATTATTATTATTATTATTATTATTATTATATACATGTTGGGCATGTGCAATCCATGGTTCTAAATGGTTCTAAAGTACTTAGAAAACTAAAGTTCTGGTGGTGAAAACTAGGGGGCGCTGGTGCTTTGCTTCTACAGTGTTGCTAAAGCTTTGGTGGCGAAAATTTCAGAACTCTAACAAAACTTTCAAAATTTCATTATTATTTCATTATTGGTGATTTTTATGACAGAACCTATTAGGAACTGACATTTATAATGAAATTTTGAAAGCTGTGTTACAGTTCTGAAATTTTCACCACCAGAACTTTAGCAACACTGTAGAAGCAAAGCACCAGCACCCCCTAGTTTTCACCACCAGAACTTTAGTTTTTTAAGTACTTTAGAACCATTTAGAACAGTGGTTCCCAACCTTCCTAAGGCCGCGACCCCTTAATACAGTTCCTCATGTTGTGATGACCCCCAACCCTAAAATTATTTTCGTTGCTACTTCATAACTGGAATTTTGCTACTGTTATGAATCGTCATGTAAATATCTGATAGGCAGGATGTATTTTTATTCTCTGGACCTTGGGAGTTGTAGTTGCTGGGATTTATAGTTCACCTACAACCAAAGAGCATTCTGAACTCCACCAGAGATGGAATTGACCCAAACTTGGCACACAGAACGCCCATGAACAGCAAAAAATAATGAAAGAGTTAAGTGAGCATTGGCCTTGAGCTTGGGAGTTGTAGTTCACCTATCTCCAGAAAGCACTGTGGACTCAAACAATGATAGATCTGGACTAAACTTGGCACGAACACTCAATATGCCCAAATGTGAACACTGCTGGAGTTTGGGGAAAATAGACCTTGACATTTGGGAGTTGTAGTTGCTGGGATTTATAGTTCACCTACAATCAGAGAGCATTCTGAACCCTACCAACGATAGAATTGGGCCAGACTTCCCACACAGAACTCCCATGACCAACAGAAAATACTGTGTTTCATGATGGTCTTTGGCGAACCCTCCGACACCTCCTCGTGACCCCTCCCCAGGGGTCCCGACCCCCAGGTTGAGAAACACTGATTTAGAACCATGGATTGCACATGCCCAATGGCCATGTGCTGGGAGGATTTTAATTGTGTCTCCCTGCTGGGCAGAAGGGTGCTGCACTGGATGGCCTTTGGGATCTCTTCCAAGTCTATGATTGCATTATTATTATTACTATTATTTACATGACCATCTGCTGGGAGGGCTTTAGTTGTTTCTTCTGGACTTAACGCTGTCACTTGATGCTCAGGTGTTGGCGGTGGTCGAGAGGGCCTTTACACAACTCAAACATGTGCACCAGCTGCGACCATGCCTTGTGAAGTCTGACTTGGCCAGGGTGGTCCACACCCTGGTTACATCCAGATTGAACTATTGCAATGCGCTCTACGTGGGATTGCCCTTGAAGACGGCCCATAAGCTCCAACTGGTACAACGGGCGGCAGCCAGGCTCCTTACTGGAGCAAACTATAGGGAGCATACAACGCCCCTTTTAAAACAGCTTCACTGGCTGCCAATAAGTTGCCAAGCCAAATTCAAGGGGCAGGTTATGACCTATAAAGCCCTAAACGGTTTGGGCCCCGCCTATCTTCGCGATCGCATCTCCCTCTATGAACCAGCATGAACTTTAAGATCTTCCAGGGAGGTCCTCCTTTCACTCACACCACCGTCACAAGCATGGTTGGTGGGGATGAGAGGGAGGGCTTTCTCAGTGGTGGCCCCCTGCCTCTGGAACGCTTTTCCTAGAGAAATAAGACAGGCCCCACCTCTCCCCTCCTTTCGTAAGAGCCTGAAGACCTGGTGGT